GATCAATATCAACACATTTATTCCAAAGGAGCTAAAGCTATTAAAACTCAATTCTATGTTGATGACATTCTCTATGGAGCCGACAATGAAGTCGATCTCAAACTGCCGTCGTTTATGAAACGACGGCAGTTCTTAAGAAGGGTGGATTTGAACTGGTAAAATTCAAAAGTAATCACTCTACATTCAACACAGCAGAATTTGAAAACAAAGATCTCAAATTAAGCGATCCAACAACTACTAGCGCCTTAGGCATCACATGGAATCCTGGTCAAGATTTAATTCTATTTTCATTCCAACCAAGGAAACAGTATATAACTATTACAAAGCGTGGATTTTTATAGCTAGTAGCCTCAATTTTTGATCCAATGGGATTAGTTTGTCCAATAGTTGTACAACCAAGAGTCTTGTTGCAGGATCTGTGGATACAAAAAATCGATTGGGATGCAGAACTACCCAAAGCAACAAAAGAATCGATTACGTATTTACTTAATGACTTAAATAATTTACACAAGGTACGCGTACCCAGATATGTGTTACGTCCAAATTCAAACAACATTGAATTATATGGGCTTTGCGATGCGTCTATCAGAGCATATGGTTGCTGCATATACGTTCGCGTAGTCGATCAATAAGAAAATATTTTCGTTAATCTGTTGACAGCCAAAAGTTGAGTAGCTCCAACAAAAAAGAGGACTATACCTCAATTGGAATTGTTTAGCGCACACTTACTAGCTAAGCTTTTTGAGAAAATTATGTAAGAGTTTGCAAATTATAACGTCAAATCATTTCTTTGGACAGATTCGTCTGTAGTTACAAATTGGTTAAGGATGCATTCATCAACTCTTATCACATTCGTCGGAAATCGAATTTCGGAAATTCAACAAGTGACCAGAAACTGCATATGGAGACATGTACCGACATCGTGCAATCCTGTAGACATTATATCACGTGGACGCTCTGTAGACCATCTTCCAGTCTCAATTTGGTTCTCAGGTCCAGAATTCTTGCACAACGATGAGTCACACTGTCCTGCAATGTAATTGTTTGAACGCAACAATGCTGAAATAAATGACGCTATTCAGAAGATGGCACTACATTGCAATCAAATAAATAATGCTGTACTGTTATTCACTGAGCTGTTATTTCCGTGTGGTGGCGGGATAAGAATACCGCCTCAGCATGTCTCTGCTTGTAATAAAAAGCGACTAAAAGAGAAACTGCACAGGTCAAAGTAGAATTTCTATGATTCCTGGTAAGACGTGATGGCGCACAGGTCAAAGTAGCTTGCTACGATTCCTGATAAGACGACCCTTTTGCTAGCAGGCCGGCATTCTGCTTAGGCTTTGCTAAGTTGACCAGCCTTCGGGAAGCACGGTCATGTCTCTGCTTATCGCTTGACGCAGATAGTCGGGCGAGGGTGAAGGAATACACCCTTTTACTGAATGAGCAGAAAGAATAATTGAATGAATGTGTGAATGAATGGAATGTGTGTATTAGAAATAAAACCCTCCAAACTAAGGTGGAACAGCTACTCCTTTAGCTTAGCTGCTGGCGATGCTATGTTTGCTTCCGTTGGATTTACATATAAAGAAAACTTCGGTACTGGCAGCAATTCGCATGAACCGGAGCTCCACGTGGAACAACTTCGGAAAATTGGTGAGTCATCGGAAAATTTTTGACCTCGTCCAGACCACGGTCAAGGAAACACAGATGCCATTGGAGACAATGAGGAGAGCTTATGCGACAGAAGTGTCCTATTGAACACTTATAGTCGACGTCCTTCTACATGATGAATGTAAAAGGAATGACATATGCATATATACCGATGGTTTCTTGATGGATGGCAGAGCTGGTGCTGGGGTTTACTCAAAAGAGCTAAATCTAACGTGCATCTACATCGAGCTAACCCTCTTACGGCAAAAATATGACAGTAAAATAATGATGCATCCAAATCCACTCGCTTAATATCTTGCCAGAACGGGAAACATATCCCGTCTCAAAAGATCGGATTTATGGGTATACTTTTAATGAATCTTAAATGTATAACTACAACCAGTTAAAAAATTATAAATTTTATATTATAAAATTTTATATTACTTTTATAATGTTATTTTCTTTTTACAAAGTTTTCCTTTTTTTTTTTTAAAGTTTTATATTATTAAATTATAAGTTTACATTTCAAACAAAGAAAGTTTATGTAGTGACACAAACTTTGAATGAATATTATTAGTACGTAAGATTTAAATAATTATTGTTAGACTTTTTAAGTGATTTAATAAATAAAAGAAAAGAAAAAAAAATTCTACATCTAGGAATATATGTTTCCGTCTATCAAGCGGAACTTATGGCAGTCTTACATGTTCTATATCACCTATTGTCAGGTGTATCAGAAAAAGATTCTGATAGCGCTGGACTATCATGCAGTTATCAAAAGCATGCAAAAGACATACATAACTAACAGTTTAGTTCAAGAATGTGTACCGAAGCTCATAGAATGTGGTGATGGAAATGAGGTGACGATCATGTGGGTTAAAGGACACATTGGTATTGAGCAAAACGAGAAGGCAGATGAACTTGCAAAGCAAGAATCAAGCCATAATTTCTGTGGCCCAGAGCCCAGAATACCACTAAGTTACAACATGACGGCAGCCTATGTCTATAAGTGGATAACCTCACTTCATCTTAATAGATGGAGAGAGTTGAGCACTTGCAGACAGACCAAACTCATGTTGCCGAAACCGTGGAAGCGATAAAAATACTTAGCTATTCGCGGAGCACTCTAAGCTGGCTGACCATACTAATTACTGGACATGGCAACTTCAAGTATCACCTCAAAAAGATAACTCTTGCTGAGGAAGACACTTGCATACTATGTATAGAAGAAAAGGAAACATTGGTGCATATATTGTCCCAATGCCCAGCACTGGCAAGTAGGAGGAAGACTGTCTTAGGACACCATTGGTTTGGTGATGACTTGGCAGGAAACCTCAAGCTAAATGAGCTGCTTGCATTAACAAAAGATGTTGTTATGCGAACGGAAGCCACCCCAGCTTTAACTCAATAACAACATCCGAGAATCGAAATACGAAAAAGGACCCAAATAGTTTCGTAGTATACTTCGACTAATCCTTCACTTCAGTGGGGCCACTTGTTGGACAGTGCGCTGTCCCAACGTCCCACCATATATAACATATATATATTCACTGAGCGAACGAGTTGATATAATAAAGTCGTTAGTTGTTATATATCGTTAGTTGGTCGTTAGTTGGCTATATCGTGTTAGCAATCGCACTCAGCATAAATATGGTGAAAGTAGTTTGAATATCACAGCGGCTAAGCGAATGCGTACCCTTCACTGCATCATTCACAATATACAACAACATTTCGCGATTGAATTTAAAGCTATTGAGAAAAACTTTGACATCAAATCTTCTTTGAAAGCTCTTGGTTTATTCATACAAACTTTTGGATGGTTTCGGTTAATCCGCGTTGCTGAACGCCTAAAACATGCAGATATACCGGAAGACCACATCCCTTTCTATTGCCAAAGAATTGCCAATTCGTCAATACTCTAGTTCGTCATCTTCATATGCAAAATGTTCACGCAGCTCCGAAGGCATTATGCGGCAAAATTTCTGGATTATCGGCGCACGTCACATTGCACGTAAAATCGTCAAAACATGCATAAGTTGCATTCGATATCGCCCCAAACTTTTATCTCAAGTAATGGGAAATCTTCCAAGAGAGTGAATAACCCCAGCTAGACCAATCAATACGCACTTCAGAATTCGCGGTAAACGTCCTTATAAAACATACATCGCTATCTTCATATGCTTTGTGACCAAAGCGATGCATATCGAAACAGTTTCCGATTTGTCCGCTGACGCACTCATCGCAGCACTAAAACGATTAATTGGTCGCCGTGGTATTCCATCAAATATCTTCTGCGACAATGCGACAAACTTTGTTGGAGCGAAGTCCAGGTTAAACGAGTTCAAACAATTGATCACAATTGATCAAATTTTGTACGAATCACTTTATAAAATTTAACTTTATTCCAACTAGGTCTCCACATTTTGGTGGTCTTTGGGAGACAGCAGTTAAAAGCGCCAAGGGACATTTATTTAGTTCGCTGGCTAATACCAAGATGACTATCGAAGAACTGATGACAGCATTAATTGAAATCGAGGCTGTTATCAACTAACGTCCTATTTCGCCTCTCTCTAGCGATCCAAACGAGCTAGAAGCGCTGACACCAAGTCATTTCTTGATAGGAGCACCAATTAATTCGTTGCCGGAGCTAATCGTTGACAATCACTATCTCACTCATTTAGAGCGTTGGAAACGTATCGCCGCTGTCAAACAACAATTTTGGTGCAAATGGTCCAATGAATATCTAGGCGAACTTATTCAACGTCTTCGCTGGACAAGTATCAAATCTAATATTGAACTAAATGACTTAGTCATCGTTCATGAGGATAACTTGCCACTACAAAAGTGGGTAACTGGTCGAGTAATAGCAACACACGATCGGACAGATGTATCAGAGTCGTGAATATTAAAACTCAGGGTGAAGTTCTTCGTCGATCCATACATAAGCTGGCGTTGCTCCTTGACTCTTTAAAGGCGATCCTTTCAAGGTCCCCGGAATGTTCAGAATACATCGTAAACAAAAACCAAATATGTATTATAATATCATTATATATAAAACTGTAAATTATTTGCCATATGGCAGCCCTGCCAAGCACGAGCCTTCGTGCATTTTACTTAAAATAAAGTAGTTGTTTTTATTCAGTTAGTTTACTGACCTTTTTGCGTTCACGTTTTCTTTTTTACTAACCTCCAAGCCACACGCCGCCTTTTTGCGCGTGCTTAAAGGCTACGACACAATTAAAATGATGAAATACATAAAGGCCATGATACAATGTACCTTAATTCTAAACAAATAGTATAAACCTTAATTCTAAACATATCGCCGCCTTTGATGGCTTCAGCAGACATCAACATTGAGATGGAGTAGGTGCCAATTTATGGATTGCTCGGCGAACCTCTCCATTCTTTATTTTTACAACAGCAACTCGAATCCAACCTTTAGCATCTCTTGTCACTTTCAGCACTCTCCCAATAAGCCATTGCTTAGAAGGCAAATTTTCATCTGCAATTAACACCATTTCACCTTCATTAAGGTTCTTCTGCTTCTTAGTCCATTTGACTTTCTGTTGAAGTTCATGAAGATACTCCGCCGGCCACCTTCTCCAAAAATGCTGTTGTATGGCCGAAATTCGTAGCCATCTATCTCTATAAGACCATTCTTCGCTATCCACAGTAGGTTCCACAGTTCCAACCAACGGACCACCTGTTAAGAAATGTGCCGGTGTAAGAACGCTTTCATCATTTGGGTCGTTAGACAAGGTTGTCAAAGGTCTTGAATTTAAAACTGCCTCTACTTCCGCAACCACTGTTGCCAGCTCTTCAAATGTAAGATGCGATTGATCCAATATTCTAGCCAAATGATATTTTGCTGATTTTACAGCCGCTTCCCATAGTCCACCAAAGTGGGGGGATCTGGGTGGTATATGATGAAATTCAATACTATTGGCAGTACAATATTTTGAAATCTTGCCCTGTATTTGTTGATCAAAAAAACTTGCATTTCATTTCTTCGAGCTCTTTACGAGTACCCACAAAATTAGTGGCATTGTCGCAAAATAATTTTAAGCATAAGCCGCGTCGAGCTACAAATCTTTTTAATGAAGCCAGGAAAGCCTTTGCAATCAAATCAGAGACCACCTCCATATGCACAGCTTTTGTGGCAAAACAAATAAAAACAGCAATATAGCTTTTTGTTGTTCTGTACCCACGAAGTAGATACGTTGTTGTAATAGGGCTGCAAAAGTCCACTCCAGTCACAGTGAATGGCCTCGCTACGGTGACTCTAGAAGAGGGTAAATCGCCCACAATCTGATTACTCAATTTTGGATGGCGTCTAAAGCATTGTAGACAACTACCAGTAATTTTGCGTATTACTCCTCTAGCATGAAATATCCAAAACAGTAAAGAGGGCTGTAATATGTTCCTCGAACATCAACGCCTTTTTATCGAAGCATTCCTTCAATCGATCGAGTGCTTTGGGGTAATTGTCCTCTGTGACATCAAAATCGTCAATAGCTGCCAGCGGCTTAGAGCCCAAGTGCTCTTTAAGTATCGAAAATCGTTCGCAGTCATCAAGCATTTCATCCTGGTTGATTAATTTATTAAACAAGGCTATAAATTTCGGAAATTCGCTATACTTCCCTTCAAATTTCGGTAATTTTACTTCCCGATGACTTTTTGGGCCCGGCAATAACGATGCTGTATTCGTTGCATTGACATCTACCAGTGATAGCTTTCTTTTTTTTAGTAAACTCATTATTTTTGCTTTTGTGGCCACAAATGCATCTTCAACTTCAGCTGTAATTGCTTCGCTTGAAGAAGTATCTGCACCTTGGTTTAGTTTGTCGATATCTGCTTGCACACTCAGAAACTGTTTAAAGTTATTTTCTGTCAAACTAAGCCTGCACTTAAGTTCTTCTGTTGACAAACTTGACCCTTTTTTCAAAATCATTGATTTTATGCGAGTGATATTGCCTTTGGTGCTGCCTCTCAACGCCTTCAATTCCGCCAGTTTCTTAGACCCTTTCTGCACGCCTTCTTGCTCCCCGTCGCTGACTTCGTGAATTTCTGAGTCTAACATTTTGCAATTTTATTTTTTTCTGGATCACTATCCCTTTTCTGGATCACTATCCCTTTTATGGATCACTATCCCGGGTTTCGGCACCAATGTTTTTATTCAGTTAGTTTACTGACCTTTTTACGTTCACGTTTTCTTTTTTACTAACTTCCAAGCCACATGCCGCCTTTTTGCGTGTGCTTAAAGGCTACGACACAATTAAAATGATAAAATAAATAAAGGCCATAATACCATGTACCTTAATTTTAAACAAATAGTATAAACCTTAATTCTAAACAATTATTAATAAATGATAATTATCAGTAATATTTTTTTTGTTTGTTGGAGATATGATAGAAAAAAATAATATAAACATTTAAATCTTTAAATAGAATTAAAATCTGTAAATTTTAAATAGAAATGTAAAATAAAATTCCCATTTGTGTAGATATTGTGAATTATTAATAAAAGAAAAGTTGTTGTTATACATACATGAGTATAAAGAAATTTATTGGTTTTCTTTTCTATTTCTTTACTTGGGTGATTACATGGTTATGTAAAGGTCAGGTAGGAACAAACATTATTCACATGACTATAATGTGTTTTGAGTAAATCTCATTAAGGCTAAAGGGGTGGTACCAGTATAGTGGCCATATTAATCTACTTAAGGTGAAGTGATGCATCTGTAAAGTAATACTCGCTTTTTCCGATTTAGAAGAAAATACGATCTGTTATGCTGGCAAGAAAAAGACTATAGATTGGGGAGTAGAGAGAGAACTCCTAAAGATGGTGAGGACTGCAGAGTTGCCCAGAGAAAGAACAGGCAGCGTAGGATCCAGCAAAGTCAAAGAAGGACATCCAACCCCTGCTGCTGTCATTATCACTAATGGGAGTCGAACTCTTTCAATACTACTTGATGAATGTTTTTTTAAGTTTAAAAAGGGACAGTAAGAGGTGAACATTGCTGAAGGGATGATTTTCTTTTTTTTTGTTAAATTTTTTTTATTATTGTTCATTTTTTTTTTTATGAAATATTATGAGGTGATATTATGAGGGTTGGTTATAGGAGAATTAATTTTTAGAGTTAGATAAAAAAAAAGTGAATGAATGAAAGATTATGAAGTGATTGTAGAATAAGTTATTTGTTTTAGTTATTAGGCAGAAAAAAAAAATGAAGTCTAGCTGAGATGATCGGGAAATATAAGTATGAATATAATTAGATACTGTAGTTTTTAATACGAAATATGGCACGAAATTTTTTTGTTGTTGTTTGCAGCGATGCCTTATATCTCAAGAACCCCACCCTAACACTGGCGAGCATACCGAGTTAGCCACCATGCCATGAGCAGTTTCTGTGGACGCAGATTTAATAACAGGCAGACACAACATTTTGTACCGCCCGCAGCGAATAATTTCGGTGGCTTTTGGGAGGCGGAGTAAAAAGCATAAAAACTCGTCTTAAATGTGTAGTAAACACGACAACTTTAACTTTGGAAGAATTTTACACGCTTCTAAAACAAGTCGAAAATTGTTTTAATTTGCGGCCGCTTGCAGCTCTATCTGATAATCCCAAGGATTTATCAGCGTTGGCGTTAGTACATATTTTGCTCGGACAAGTGCCATCTGCCGTGCACGAATCTAATATTCTACATTCTTCATCGGGTAAATTACAAGACTTTTGGCGACGTTGGTCAGAAAAATATTAAACACAGTTACATGTGAGAAACAAATGGAATAAAAGGCAAAGGAATATCGCAGCCAACCAACTGGTGCTAATTCGCTATATTACGGCTCAACAAGAATAAATTTAAATTGTTGAGACGAACGACAAAGTTAATGCGATCATATGGGTTATGTTATTAGTTAGCATTTGAGGGAATAAAGAAATTAAAAAAGGCATTAAATTAAGTATTGAATCCCAGTATCTACCCTAAAATTGTGACAGACTGATTTGGGTCTCTTGTTGGAAGCATCAAATTAAGATCTGTATAGTCTTAGTATTGTTACAATCCGTGCACTATTCCACAGTTTTAGATAGTAGTCTATCATTAAATATATACTAGTGTGGTGGCAACCACCGACGATGACAACTGTCAAAGCCAACAGTTGTTGTAGTATACACACAAAAACTAATTTCAGAAGGAGTTGCAATTAAGACGAAAAAGCAAAAAAAGTAAAACAGCAAGATCAGCACTCATCTAACCTAATATTGTGCTAAAATAAATTAGTTGCATTATATTTAGTATTGTAATTCAATACTCGTCAGTTCAAAGTTTATTCATACAATAAAAGCATCATAAAAACAACAATTACAACATTGGTGGCCCCGAGATTTTAAAAACGCGCACAAAAAATGCAAAAGAAACAAGTAAACTACGTTAAGAAAAAAATGAGTAACCATGCTGAGGACTTTTTTCATCAGAAGATGAAAGCTGCTCAGCCAAAGAGGTGTATCGAGTGTCTATAAGACTATTAACTTTCAAACAGACCTTTACTTTTTGCAAATAAATTTTGAAAATTCAATAAAGTAAGGGCGGAACAAAATTGGATGACGTGATGGCTGGGCTAGAACCAAAGTAAAGGGTGCATGGCCGATATAATTCAAGACCCACCAGAAACATCAAAGTACGAAATGGAAGAGATTGCCAGCGGTAGCTAGAACGATAGTATTAACGGTAAACGATGATTCAACACAGTGGGTCAAGGTAGCGGATAAAGTGGTTGAGTTACAAGATACAGAAACGATGTGTGCTGTACAACATAGCAAGGCAGATGAAATTGCCGAGATGAGAAAATAAATAAAAAAACTAAAAACGATGCTAAAAAATCTAATCATTCAAAAGGAAAAAAATAATGATAAAAATCGCAGTAGAGGACGTTCACGGGTGCACAAAGAAGTGATACCTGTTGTTATCACCGAAGTTTTAAGGAAAGGTCCACAAAATGTGTATAGCCATATCAATTCAAATAACTGCAAAATTCAGCGGAAAACTAAATCCCACTTCATCCCCAGCATACAACTAAGTTTCAATCGCCAAAGAAGATAGGCCTAAGACAACAATAATGACTGAATTCGGTTTATATGAACTTAGCGTAATGACCTTTGGTATATGCAACGCCGCACAAACGTTTTAAAGATTTATGTATGACGTATTAAGAAACTTAGATTACGTAGTAACGTACATGGACGACATATGCGTGGCATCAGCTGATGAGAAAGAGCATGAAAGGCACTTAAGAGAGATGTTCAAGCGATCACGTAACCATGATCTAGAAATTAATTTGGGTAATTGTGCGTTCTATAAGAAAGAGGTTACGTTCGTAGGGCACACATTTAACGGAGACGAAATTAGTCCTACAGCCGAGAAGGTTAAAGCAATGAAAAATTTTAAAAAACCAACAAAAGCACGAGAATTAAGAAGATTTATCGCTTCACGAAACTTTTACATGCGTTTTCTCCCGCACGCTGCAAAAAATCAGAGTGTCCTGCAATCATTAATAAAAGGTAATAATAAGTACGATAAATCTCCAGCTGAATGGACAGCAGAAGCCGAAAAACATTTGAAGTGTGTAAAAACGACCTAGCAAATGCTGTGATGTTAGCAAATCCGGCTCCAAACGCAAAACTTGTTCTAAATGTAGATGCTAGTAACGTCGCAGTAGGAGCAGCTCTGCAGCAACTAGTGAACGGAAAAATGCAACCATTGGGATTTTACTCTAAAAGGCTGAAAGAGGTACAGAAGAAATATAGTACGTATGACCGCGAGCTCCTTGCGATGTATATGGTGATTAAATACTTCAGGTATATGACTGAAGGCAGGAACTGCACTATATTAACAGTCCACAAAGCAATCACATTCGCTTTTCTACAAAGACCGGAGAAAGCATCCGAACACCAACTACGTCATTTGGATTTCATCAGGCAGCTGACAACAGATATTTAGCACATAGCAGGCAATTAAAATAAAGTTTCCGACGCATTATCCCGAA